TTAAAAGTAGTAATATAATGAACGATTGAAACTAGACAGTTTTCCATAATTGCGATAGGTCACTTAGACATTGCATAAGTTACCTTGACGAGATGACTTCAAATGAGGTCAATCGGTTAGTCATAAACACTCTCGAAGCGGATACAAAAATGAATAGGTTCAAGTTAGTCCACTTTATTAAGTGAGTAGAAATAATAATGCCAATAGTAATGAAATGCTATTTTATATATAAGTTTTTTTAAACAAAAGAATAAACAGTTGCTTAAACATAACATTCTCTGTGTTCACACTGAATGTAAACAAACAAACATGTAGCACAGAAAAATTAATTCGAAAAATATTACCTTTTAAAGAGAAATTCATAGAGAAACAAATCTGAAGGAAGAGAGCCAAGGTCATTCCTTTGTGCGTCATTTATACATAGTAGTTATTTACTTATACATACTTCTCTGGTCTTTAGATTTTTCCTTATTTCACTTTAAGTGTATGTTTAACATGGTTTTTTTGAAAATCATGTGTATATGGTAGAGCAAATAAGTATGTTCTAGAACTATCATGCCCCATAACAATAGACAACATTGTAATTTAGGTTTTAACAGAATTCACAATTTTGTTTTTTACGTGTTGACTCGTTTATAACTCTTTATTAGTATGAGTGATTAAAAACCGACTGGGAAATTTTTGTATAAAATCGGTTAATTTTGCAATACAATGGTCAGATGAAGATGAAATCAAGGGGGAACGATGTCGTTAGATGTTGAGAAACGTTTGATATAAAATTCATTTTCTATTGTTTATTTCAATCTTCCTATTGATGTTTAGGACTGCAAGTGATCAGTCTCTTATTGGTATATGTACATCCCATGAGGATTGTCTTAAATCACAAGCATTATAAGCAAAGATGAACGGTGACTAGCTAATATGGTGAAACGCACGTCCATGATTCCACTACCAGCCATCATCTATCTTTGCTTATTTGATTAAAAGCTCTGGATTCAAATTTCATCTCCTAATAGATACTCACTCGAGAAGAGTGTATCCATGATATCTGCCAAATGAACACTCGATCAGATTTCCTAGCCGCTTCTAATAACTTCAGGTTTAATCAACACAGCAACTTGAACATGAGAGAAAAGACGAGAAGTGTGGGAAGTATCCTTTACTCCAAGGCTAGGTTTATGTACAGATAAACGAGGGCATTTATGCGTTTACACACGAATTTAAGCTACTGGAACCATAATAAATTTAATATCAGTACAAGTAAATATTCAATAAAAGCCGTGACATGTGATTCTACAATCTCTAAATGATTCTGCGAGGATCCGACCCAATGTCGATTGAATAAAACATTTCCTGGAATTTCTGGGTCCCTAGGAACTCTGATAAGGGATATTTTTAGGATTTCCCCAAACAAAACGATGGGAAAAAGTAAATCTAGTTTACTCAAATATGCAGGACAACTAAATTCAATAAGTATTGGGTGCTCGATCAAAATAAGATTATCAAGAAGTGATTAGATAATACGAATGACCAATTTATAAAAAATATTGGTCACATCCTGAACGATCACTTAGGAATTTTCCCACCTGGAGTGTTAGGTGATTCAGATTTCTGCATTTTAAAAAGCTTTTTTCTTTTGGACGTTACGCATAGAAAATGATTCAAGGTTCCTTACTGATACCTGCCAATTATTTTACACTGTGATACCTATACATATATCATGGCGGTCACATCGTAAAAACTATGGCTGAGATTCCGCCACTACTGAGACTATTTTAATTAACAGTACACTGATAGATAAGTTAACTGATGAAAATGAGAAGGGATATCCAAGTGTTGAATTCGGTATTTGTGTAAAACTTACTACGATATACAATTATGTAATAGATTTGTTTTTGAAACAGTATGTGATGAACTCCATCAGTAAATAAAATAAGCTTTATAAATTAGGGTACACTGAACATCTATTATTATAGCTTTCATCCTGATAAATGGTTGGCAGAAATCGCCAATAAAACCGTGAACATGGGTTTTGTGCTGACTAACACTCATCAGAAAAGTGTGTCTAAAATCTTGAGGGAAATAATGCTCATCAGTACAGTTCAATCAAAACTAACGAACTAGACAAACATGATATTGGTTACTACAACTCAGTGATTAAATAATCTGTTTTTAAATTCACAGTAAACCATACAAATTCTTGTATCTATGAGACTCAAATGGTATATTATTAGGTTAAAATATAAACATGTAGTTTATCAGCATAATAGGCACAATTTACAGGTGATATTTAGAAAACCTAATAAAGATTATTTATATCGAACTGAATATTTATACAGTTACATCATTTGTATTTGTACTTCATTATTACATTACATTAAATGAGCAATTTACAGCGGAATACCTGAGTCATTAAAAAAAACGAAAATTAACATACACAACTAATGCGTCTTTTACAAAAATACAGTGAAAATCGTGATGACAACACAATATTTGATCAACTCAACCAATGTTTGGTATTTCAATCCCAACTAATACATACAAAAAGATCTTGGTACTGCCACAATGGCAGGATAACTGCTACATTTTCCTTTGATCTTTACTCATGATTAAAACATTTCAAACTATTGGCTTGAACTATAACTTTTGTAAACATACGTTATCTCTTATTTAATCAGAATAATATGAAATACATAACTACTGTTTTCGATATTTTCCTAGAATCTAGTTTAGGAATTAGAAAGTACTAGAGATGACAAAATATGTACAATTACTAACGTTAGTTTAGATAAGTGATGAGTACCAATAAATTGTATAGGATATAAAAGAATTGATTACTTTCCATAGATTATTCAATTGAGATTGATAGAGAGAGAGTAAGTCCATAAGCTGCCCTAAAGCCTTTAGCCATAAATTCCAAGCTAATCCATAAGACAAGATTGAAAATTCTAATAAACTTAGCAAATAAATTTAATGTGTAAATATTGACATTATAATTTTGACCACAAATAAAGGTTCTTTTTGAAAACACAAAACTTCAAATATGTTCAACTGATAACTTTGTTTTTTTTTAAAAAATAATGAAACATTGAATTTGAAAATTTCGCTTAAAGCTCAACTATTTATTTGAAAAAATATAGGAATAAATTTAAATTTCATTATCATAGATTACTATTATCATCATAATCAGCGTATATCGCATACCAACAAAAATCCTATAAAATGAATGTCATCGTAAATGAAAAAACGAATAATGGGAATACGAAAAATAAAAAAAATGATTTAGAAAGGAAAAAAATCATTGAACTGAAATTTTAAAAAAAAAGTAGGTAGAAAGTATGTTGCATTGATTTTTATTGCTTGAATTACTTGACGATAAATAGACTTATGGCAACATCAAACTATGGATAGAGAAAAAAAATTTTTTTATAGGAAAAGAAAAATAGTATGGTGACGACAAGTAAAATGGTGAGCAAACATTTTCATAATACAATATATATATATATATATACTCAGTTCATTAGCTAAATAATCTTGGATTGAAGACAACTGGTAAAAGAAATGAGTAAAACTGAGACTCGAATATCAATACAAAGTAGCAATGAGAATATTTCATTCAACACTTCAAAATTTTAGAAATGTTATGATTTTAAAATAAAGTTTAGTCTTTCTCAGAATAAACTTTTAAACCAAGAGACCTTCGAACACATTGTCCTATTCAGTAGTGTAAACAAGGACTCAGGATCATTCTTATGGGACGTGTATCAGTTTTTGGGAAGAGATGTTGGGGTTAACTCAAATAAATAGTAATCTAAGCTGTTGAAGTTACCAAAATAACGAAAACTTTTATAAACTTTCACACCCCATTAATATTGTAACCACTGTGATGTGATGCTGACAGGTAATCCATACTCATTCCTGATTTTTATTACAGGAATTAAATTTTTATATATATTATAATATTCACTAATCTTAATGTCTTTTCTTGAGACAAAAACATTCCTAAAAATTCAGTCATCACCTTTTATATTTGTGTGAGGTTATATCCGTTGAGTTGTTGTTATACATCAGACCTCCCATCGATCCAGCTTTATTAGATCCAATTTCCTTAGAAAGAATCTCCCATTCATTCTTGGTCCGGATTCAAACAAATATGTAGTTATAGCACAAACTTAGTTGAACTACCAACAAATATACCATAAAATTCACATATTCCTGAAGCTTATTTAGGTCATAGCTTATTATTCTAAGAATTTTTCAACTATTTGATCTCATCTCGAGTGAAATTCGAACAGAATTACTTCAACTAAAAAGCTTACTCAAGATTGAAATATCACAAATATTGTTAAGCAGAAGTTACTAATATTACATGATATTTAAATTGAATAATCAATTATTGAGTCAAAACAGGTAATCCATACACAAACAGGCATGATCGCACAATAAAATAGTCATCAACATCTACGTTGAATTTATTCAATATTTTAATTGAAAAGTAAGGCAGACAGTAACAAGTGTAGCGGTTTAAACTGTCTGTTTTTAGTTTCATTTTCCAGATTGTCGTAATACAAGACTTGTGTTGTTTTCCATTGTTGTCTGTTGCTTTCCTTAATAAACGTAAGCACAATGTGCGGTACCTATGTCGTCGGCATACTTCTTCCGTTTTCCATCTCTCTTCGTTCACGCTATTCTATCTGCCCCTCTAGTACACAAATCACCTTCTGACTAAACATAAAACCATACACAAGTTGTAACTTTTATTTTATTCAGGAAAATATTAGTCTAAACAAAAGAGGAATTTAATTACAGCTATCCTGAGCTGAAAAATATTCAGAATTACTAATAATAAATTGAAGAGAACCATGAAGATGTTTAATACGAATACTGAACAATGACTGCTGAGATTAATTTTACTGCAGATAAACTATACAAAAAATTATAAAAACCCTGTTATTATAATCAAATAGACTGTAATTAACGTGCGAACAAAATATACTTACTGAATTATAAACGACAGGTTTGAGTTAAGTAAGAGAGTTACTATTAACGCTTGGAAATCAATCTCGAGATTGATTATCATTAAATAGTTTACGTGACCAGTAACTATCAAAAGTGAAATAAATATTACCTTCTTTTAATATATAAACACTATATTCTTATTTTTTTCTACACACTTTCTCGTTCAATTTTTTTGTTATTGTTGTTACTATCATATTCATTCCATCGTTTTTTTTGTGATTTACCTCCCAAGTTATTTGTCAATTTTGCAAGTAACCTACATAGATAAACATCTATGAAAAAGCTTAGATTATTTTATTTTTGTATATTACGGAATTTCTATGATCGACAAAAATAATTATGATATACATAAATCTTATAAAAATGAAGTAAAAGTGATATCTACTGATGACTTTGAAGGATCTATCAGCCAATTAGGGAACAGAACCTAGTTATAAAAGAATTAGAACAACACATGTAAGCTAATTTTCACAATGGGAATCTTTAAAATTATAAAAGAATTAGCGGCAAAAAGTCAACATTATAACAGTGGAATAGTAAATTAATATTCAGTCATCACATTTCGAATTATTCTTTATAGTAAAAGAAAAAGGTTAAGTTTTGCAGATTAATAGTTGGGCTACTGTTGTAAGTTAGAATTATCAACCCTTAAAGTTTTCGTCAGCAACTATCGCTAGCGATAATACAAAAATTACCAGTTAAGCTGGAGTTCTGAGATGGATTTACAAATAAAAGTTAGTGTTTTCATCACGAACTGACATCAGCCACAATGCAATTTCTTGTCAGTTTTCTGTTTATACGTTTATGAAATTCGGGATTACAATTAAAATTACAGTTTAGAGTGGGAGAATACTATCTAGCCTAACGAAGCACTCATGAATACTTACTGAATCACATCAAGTACTTTACCACGTATTCTGCTTTAGGAGCAGATATGCTTTGTAATTTAGTTTAAGCACCATTTTAGATTCACTTTCCGTCGATTTCAAACATTTTAGAAACCAAACATTGCCAATATTTAATTCACTTGCAATAGCATACAAGTTATCTATCACTGCACTTTAAATTTCGTTTAAAATACACGAGACTTCATCGTAATCCCCATTAGTTAACTCAAGGGTGTCAATATACTATAGTGTTACCAAAATTCAAAAAGTTTTATTATACTAGGTTTTTCTAAACAAAGTTATCTCCAACGTCCATACATACGTTGAAGATTTTTTTAGAAAAAAATGTGTGTAGAAGTTATTACAATTACGATTATATTAAATATATAGAAAGAAATTTACAACAGACTTACTTGGTATTACTTTTATCTCTTGTTAAATAACGAGGTTCTGGATTATCATCATTACTGTTCACATCATATGATGCAAATGGATCCTAAAGTCAAACAAAATTATAAAACTAACAGTCAGAATAAGTAGCGTAAAAACTATGACTCGAATAGATGGTGAAATGGACAACAGTTATGAAAAGACAAAGTAACTTAAAGATTATTCAAATCAATCAAAAGATGAATGAAAAGCGTATAGTGTACGACAGCTATTTAGTCAAAGCATGATGAGAGAGATTGAAGTCCCTTAAGTCTTCCAACAGAAATACCAACTTCATATTATTAACTTAAAGTGGGATGAATAAATTTGAGAAGATTATAGAAATTCCGTAACAGCCTTCATCGCAAACTGGAGCTAATGAAAAGCATCAATATTATATCCCAGTATGAGGAGTTTTATGTAAGATAGAACAGTTGAGCATTTCTTTTTGGCTTTTTTAAATTTTCCAAACAATGTTCATCTATGAAGAAAATGTTTGAAAATTAATAAAAGTTTCAGGGTTTTTTCCAGTGAAAAATAAAACAATGTCATCAGTAAACTTTCATCAAGAGCAATGATAGTTATCTAATATAGAGAATGAAAAATACCGATAAATTTCAGCTTATTGATTTAATGGTAATCACTGTAAGATCTATAGGTTCTCAATTACACTTGCTGTAAGGAGAATAGTGAGGACTATTGAAGCGTTCTGTACTTTTACAGAACAGATATCAAGTTCATTAGGAATTTTAACAATTATTTAACCACAGATTTCTTACAATCAAACAACTGGGCAGATATATCTGAATGTCTCACGACAAAAACGTAAACTGAGCCAATTCATCTACCTATATAAAGGTTAAGTAATGGAAATAAAAACATTTCCTCGGAAAACAAATAGCAAACAACGTTTATCTACAGTGACTGGTGGTAGTGATGGTATCCAAAAGTACTATGACGACATCGTAATTAAAGTGTTAAGTTCAACGGATGCAATATTATTGAATAAATAAAAAAATCACAATTAAAAATGTTGACACATCATACAGTTTTTTTTTCTAAAACTAATAATTAAATATTATCAGAAGGGGTTTTTGTGGAGATTTAGTATTTTTATAGTTAAAAATGGTGAGCCAATTGAACCATCGGATGCCGGCTCAGTGGTCTATCGGTTAAGTGCTCTGGCGCGAGACTGGTAGGTCCTGGGTTCGAATCTTGCTCGTGAGGCGAGGTCGTGGATGCGCACTGCCGAGGAGTCTCGCAAGAGGACGAAACGGCCGTCCAGTGTTTCCAGGTTTTCCATGGCGATCTAGCTTCAATTGACTCACGCTTTTAACTATGAAAAAAATTAAATATACAATTTTGAGTAATGCTTTCATAATCTATTTAATATTAATGTATCCTATAATCATCAATAATGAATTATTTTTAAGTATATTTGAAAAGTGTAAAATTGAAAAAGGGGTCAATCGAACAAAGAATATTCTAATTTAATATTTCATTTGGCTTTTCTTAATATTATAAAATAAACAATAAATGATAAAGTGCTTCATTTTATACCTCTTTTATATTTTACAATGATTTAACATATTTAACGACTTATGAAAATAACAACGCGTAAACAGCAACTAGAAATAGGTAAAATGAAATGACCGTAATAATGAGACAGTTTAAATTCATTTCAAGTACTTGTTTATATACTACTTACAAAATGTAAGTTGACAAGATCGAAATATAAAAAACATTCTCGTACAAACAAAAAGAAAATAACAAATAATAATCAATGAATTAGATTATTATTATTGGATTGTTATTATTATTAGTAGTAGTAGTATTATTAGAATAAAATGAAAGCATCTTTTGAATAAAATAAACTTTAAAAGTGCCTCCAAATGCCCTGGTACGGCCGAGGGTAGGGGGAGTTCGCTCTCCCTCTCGAAATACTCTCACATGGCCACGCGAATATATAGCCCCTGACAGGGAAGTCCTACTCACTGCCTTCTCGAAACGGGGTGTTGTTTATGAAATTGAGAGGACGAAAACGGAATGCCCGGCGCTTTAACCAGGTCGGTGGATGTGGAGTGTCACCTAGAGGAGTTGGAAAACCCTGATTTCAAATCAATGGTGTACATGGGCTCCAGGATCCTGAGGGAACAAATGGCGAATGAACCAATCTTTGGTCACCGGCTACCATGGGACTGCATCTCCTCACGATGCTCCACTGCCTTGTGGATCAGACCTTTAGGTCGAAGGCTCCGGGTGTGACCCCCTAAGAAAACCACCTGCTTCGTTTTGGGCACCCGTGCAGTATCACAGCCCACAAAAATCATATGAGATTTGTGCGGCGCATATGTATCTGGTGCTTCCTTGTACCAATATTTATGTGTTAAAATAATAATAATAACACAGAATTTAACAAATCAATTAACAAATTTCGTAAATTGTTTTTTTCTTTTTTCACAAAGTTAAATTCTCTTATGTTTAATAAAGTTCATTAGAGATTTCTTCTATTCTTTTTTTCTGTTTTAGTTTCTTCTTCATTTCATTTATCAGTAATAAATTATTGAAAAAAATTAATTTAATTGTCAGAAACAAACTTTTATTCTGGGTCATTCTATTTTGCCTTTAGCTAATGTCAAATGAATTCATTAACATCTCTCTTTTTCTTTTTAGATTAAATAATGATTTAGATCATTCAAATGGAATTTATTTCCAAGAGTATAGAAGTGATGTTGATATCATCTGGGCTATCTTTTCTATTCAGTAAAAAATTTTAATGACTTGTTATAATTCAAGTATATTTCTTATATAGAATAAAAAAGCTGGATAAAATTCATAGTAACTAACCTGTAAGAAGACTGTTATACAATGTTAAATAAGGTGTTTAAACTACTTTAGTAAGATTTAAATGACTAAATGTGTTATATCCCGTGGAGAATTATGAATAGTAACTCTGAGGACTACTTATAGACCAATGTGATAGGTATGTTTCCTATTGTATAATTGTTAGGTAATTAAATTATCCATATTTGTGTTCCTCTTATTATAAGCCTCATTTTGACCTATAGACTATTATTATACGATTTACCATTCTTGAGTTATGCATGTCTATCAATTACTATTTCCCCTATTCACAGCCACATTTAGCCAAATCTTGTACAAATGCTATATTTTATTTTATGGTACGATGTGGTCAGTTTGCTTGGTATATAAACATAGTATAATTGTGAATAATTATTCATATTGCAGAGGCTGTTATTGGTGTTTCGGACTTTTACTGTCTGGGCTAGACAGAAATCAGGACTGATAAGTACTCCTCATATGACTTTTTGTGTATCATTACCCGATCGTTGCTGCTACCTTGACGTGGTGGTTGGGCTTGCCTATCGTGATGAACCAATCGAGCTATGCTGGCTGGAACAATCGTTCCTCGAGGTCCTACCATGCCAGACAGGTCGGTTGAAGAGCGGTGAGACTAAAAGCAGCAAACCCAAGGTCCGAAGGCGAAGTCGTACTGCTGACTGTACAGAGGTGTGACAGCAGTAAAGTTTCCTTCAGACAACCAGCATGACAGCGACGCTGCCTTCCCACAAGGAGGGGTGGGATTAGAAAAGGTCGACCCTAAAAATGCACACCTCGCCTTATCCCACGGATTTCCGTCTCCGGCGGTAAGGTTTATTTTGAAGAACGGAGCTAACACAAAAACTACCCACAAAAAGGTCGTGTGTGACCGACCTCAAGCAGTTGTCCCTTGGGCACTGCGGTCACGCTCTCAGGTCATTAAGACCACTCCTAACCCAATTTCCTTTTCAGGTACCTCTAGAAGAATCCTTCCACGGTGTGGGCAACCGGGAAGTGATAACTGCCCTCATACCTCTAACAGCACTCAAGACCACTGTATTCATAATCAATCTTCTTCTTCAATTCCTACTATTCCCTCTACCTTGACTTTCAACACTAAACTTCCTCTCTCGGTTTCCTCCTCAAGTGTCACCATGGCCAACGATTCTAGTGCGCGAAACGCTGTCCCAGGTCTACTTAAACCTCGCTCCAAACTACACATTGGAGCCTTCAACGTACGTACCCTATGCCAAATCGGTCAACAGGCCTCCTTAGCTAAAACCCTAGAATCTCGTACCATTGATGTATGCTGTGTCTCCGAAACACGCATACAGGATCCCAGTGTGGTCATTCACTTGACCTCACCTCGCCAAAATGGACAGCCGACGAAATACACCCTCCGTGTATCTGGCGACCCGTTGGCTAGTTCTCGTGGACTTGCAGGTGTAGGCATAGCACTAAGTACAAGGGCAGAACAGGCACTACTAGAATGGATCCCCGTTAACAGTCGCCTGTGTGCTGTCCGGCTAAATGGTTCCATAAGAACTCGGAAGGATAGGGACACACGTCGTTGCCTTTTCGTCGTTTCTGCCTACGCTCCCACTGACTGCAGCCATGATGAAGTAAAAGATGACTTTTACAGAAAACTCTCTGAGCTTCTTCAGAAAGCTAAGTGCTCAGACATAGTAGTCGTAGCGGGTGACTTTAATGCCCAGGTAGGCAGCTTAAATCAAACAGAAAGACATTTAGGTGGGTGTTTTAGTATTCCGGCTCAACGAACCGATAATGGTGATCGTCTGTTGCAACTATGCTCAGACAATCGTTTATTTTTAGCAAGCACTAATTTTAAACATAAGGAGAGACATCGTCTAACATGGCGACCACCTGCACCAAACCAACGATGGACTCAAATAGACCATATTGTCATCAGTCATCGTTGGAGAGGCTCAATAGAAGATTGTCGCTCGTATTGGAATACTTGTTTAGACTCTGATCACGCTTTAATACGAGCGCGCATTTGTCTGCGCCTCAATGGACGCAGGAAAAGTACACTAAGAAGACCCATTAGGATTGAACTGGAGGATGAGAAAGCCAAATGCGAATTACAGAAACAACTAAGTTCACATCTAGGCAGTTCTGTAAACGAGACTGACCCAGATGCTGCTT